CAGCCCCAGCCCCAGCCCCAGCCCCAGGGCGTCTCGACGCAGGCCTGGCCGAAGAGGCCGCTGGCAGCTGGCGGCGCCCTCAAAGCCAGGCGGGCATCCCTCGGGGCGTGAGGCGCCAGGACCAGCAGGGACCCCGGCTCCCTTCTCGGGCCTCTGGAGCCTCCAACGTCCGAAGCCGCGTGGCCCTGCGCGCATGCGCGCCCACTCCCGGTGGGCGGGGCAAAGCGCTCGTGCGCAGGNTTCGGTGTCGGCCCCTCGGGTGCGGGTCTTGTATTCGCACCTGCCGCAGAGCCACCCGCGTTGCTCACAGCCTTTCCTGCCCTCACATGTTGGCCACTTTGTAAAGTGGAAATAATGAGAAGGCAAATAGCGGAACCAATGACTCACTTAAAAAAAAATAGACAAAAAGGAAACTGATGAAGGGAATAGTTAGCGAGACAGCGAAATGAGGTTTCATCCACCTGCCGAGGTGAATTTACCTTTCAGAGTCTAGCGGGCATCAGTCTTCTATTTAATGTGGACAGGGGTTAAAATTCCGTTCACGGCGCGCTGGGGCGGACGCGCGGGACCTCGGCGCGGTGCCCGAGCTTGAGTGGCGGCCTCTGGTGGCGGGTGCGCTCCAGAGACGCGAGTGTGACACGGTGGTGGCGGATTTCACCACCAGGGGTCCTTCACCGCAGTCTTTGCCTTTTTAAAATTTTCGTGCATGTTTGGGGCAATTACACTTTTATTCTCTTTCTGAAATGTTCTAAGCAAGAGAAATAAAGAAACAAATGCTAGAAACATCAGATGGTGACGAGCCAGATGAAGGGGGGGGACCCAGGTGAAGCTGGGTGGTCAGAGAGGGCCTGGTTTACGTTGGTTTTCCTTGTCACTTTTTCCCAAATCCTTGAAATACTGTCTTTACAATTCCAAAGTATATTTCAGAAGCTATTTAAAGTGATAACTAGTTACCTAAATTACTTTATTGTAAGTATTCGGATTTCACAGAAGGTATTTAGAATAGTGATCCTCAAACCGATGTATATTAGAGTCCCTGTGAGAATCTTTTAAAGAAATCCTTATGCCCAGGCTGAACCTAAGACAACGGGTAGAATTTCTGGACTGGCACTCAGAGGTCAGGAGTCTTTTTTTTCTTTCTTTTTTTTCTTAATATATCTTTATTGATTTCAGAGACAGGAAAGGAGAGAGAGAGAGAGGGAAACATCAATGATGAGAGAGTCATTGATCCGCTGCCTCCTGCACGCCCCGACTGGGGATCGAACCGGCAACCTGGGCCTGTGCCCTGACCTGGAATTGAACCCTGATCGCCTGGATCCTAGGTTGACGTTCATCCACTGAGCCACGCCCGGCCGGGCAGGGGTCAGGAGTCTTAAAAACTTCAGGTGATTCCAGTGTGATTCCAGCTGTAACTGAAAACCAGCGGTATAAAAAATGTACATTCTAGCTTCTTTTAATGCTAAAATATGTGCATAAAACCCAATTTAGCTGAAATCTACTCCCTTTGTTCCCCCATTCAGTGATACCCTTTTCCAAATTTGTCTATCTCAGAGATTTCCTAATGATAAAAGATTCAAGAGGGCTAAGGAAAGGGAAAGTGTTGAAAAGAATCTGTTGCCATTCCACATCGGCAAACAAAAGGTCAGCAAAGGACACATCCATGATGCAACTCAGCTTGTTCTTTTACCATGCACCTAATTCACATTTACTTAAAAGAAAAAAAAAAATTATTTGAGTTTTATATAATCAGTTTTAATAAAGTTTTCTACCACCTTGTGACTTGGATCGTTCCTGTCATAAGCTTAGGCTCACTGCAGCTGTTTCCTGCAAAAAGCAAAAGCATAACTTTTACAGGTTTCATTTCCTATAAAGAGAATGGCGAATAGATCTCTGGGCAGGTCTTTTGCTGCAGAAGCTGATGGAAAATGGTGTCAGGGTTATTGACTCAGTGAGAGCGTTTTGCCAGGCCAGGACCAGCCTCTTCTCTCTTGCTCGATCTCATCTGGTTCACAGAGTAATAGCACTCTTGTCATTGATGCTGCAGCCCACAAATCTGTTTCTGTCCTATTGACTGTAGTGGTTGTTCCTGTCAAAGCTGGGGACATATACATGTGATGATCAGGAATGTTATAAAAGTCGCACACAGTTGTCAGTAAGTTGTTAGAATGTCATTAAGTTGGAGGTGATGCCACAAACCCCAGCTCTTACGTGAACAAAAGTGGCCAACCTTTGCAGCATCCTCTTGACTAGTGACAGCAGAGTAGTGCATCTGAACGGTGTACGCTTCACAGAGGCAGGGGTTCTGCCTGTCGGTCACTGTACACATGCTGGGGCAAATGCAGGCTTGCAGTTGCTGGCATGGAAAATGATACAGTAATTAACACGAAGAAACTGTCTTGCGTACTCACAGTTGTAAATCTACTTTTGCCCCACCCTGTATACTCATCCCTTAGAACAGCACCAAGCCATGGGGGGCGCTCAATAAATCTTTGCATTTCTTAAATGACTGTAGCCTTGTTCCCATCTGTGCCTGCAGGTTTTAGACCACCCACCATGCTGGATAATTCCTTCCCCTGCTTCTCATTCAAACCCCTGAATCATGTCTCTCCTTCCTTTTAGGACCAAACACCCCCGCAGCAGAATCCGCTCTCACAGCTCAGATGTTTTCGCGTCACATTCCCTTTTCATTGAATCGCAGTCTGTCTGCTCTCGTTAGCACTCTTCTAAAGTTGTTTCCCCCAACGCTGCCAGCGACTCTTACTTACTCAGTCCAGTGACTTCTACTCGACTCTCATGCTTGGGGGTTTCTTAGTAACACGCCCCCCCCCTCCTTGCCCCTTAGACACCCACCCTTCCTTAGCTTCCAAGACAGATCACCCTCTAAGTCCCTCTCCTTCGTTAGACACCCTCAGTTTCATCTTCACTAACCTCACTTTCTCCAACAGCTAAATGAGGTCATTCCTTACAAAGGGTCACTGTCCCCTGGCATTCAGTACATGTCGTAATGAGTCTTCAGTCCACAGTGTAAGATTATTGACCCTGCTCAGTCTCAGCTGGTGATCAGTTCCCCTGCTTCTCCTTTCTCAGCTTCCCATCTCTCCTGCCCCCCCCCCCATTATCCAAACTCAAAGCCGAGAGATGGCTTTGATTTCTTCCTTTTTTTCCTTCTTTATATATAATAAAGTCCTTCACATCCATTAAGTCCTGTCTACCCTCAAATATCTCTAAAATGTAACCCTCTTCTTTCTAGTCTTTAATTCAGATCTAGTTTCTTGTTTACTCCTGCTGTCTCCCTTTTTTTTTTCTAGACTAGTTTTTTCAGTATGAGTTTCGTTTTATTTTGAAATTGAAACTGTGGAATGAAGTGGTTTGTGGCTGTTAATTATAATTTCTTACTTCCCTACTCAAGCATCTTCAATGATCCCCTAATGTTTATGGATTAGAGACCAGATGCTGTGGGCGTTGAAGACCCTGCATAGTGTGGTCCCAGCCTTTACCTGCTGCCTGAAGTCTGATTGCACTCTGATTTAACCTCGATCCTGCCAGGTTATTCTGTGAGTAGTGCCCCCGAACACAGCTAGAATGTTTCTGTTTTCCTCCTATATAGGTATTGCTGCCCCTACCTGAAATATTCTTTCCTTTTTCTTTTACCGTATAATTTCTGCCTGTTCTCTGAGGTTCAACTCAAATGCTCCCTGTTCCATGAGATTTTTTTTTAATACTTTAGCCTTCATTGAGCTCACTTCTATCCTGTGATATTATTGAGCAATTATGTTGTGCTAGGCACTAGAGCATTTTACTATTATTTAGTCTTTCCTGGCACTCCTATATCATTGATTTGCTCTTTTTAAATTATTTTTATTGGAATGTGATTCATACACCTTAAAACCCACCCTTTTAAAGTGTTTTTAATACATTAACAAAGTTATGCAACGATCACCATTACATAATTCCAGAATGTTTTCACCATCCCCAAAGGAAACCCGAGTTAATTAGCAGTCACTCTCCACTCCCCTTCCTACCCACATCAGCCTCTGGCAACTGGCAACCACTAATCCACTTTCTGTTTCTATGAATTTGCCTGTTATGGTCATTTTATATAAATGGAACTGTATAATATGTGGCTTTTTGTATCTGGCTTCTTGTACTTAACATGATATTTTCAAGGTTCTTCCATGTTATGGCATGTACCAGTTCACCATTCCTTTTGATGGCTTAATAATCTTTCATTATACGGATATAACACACTGTTTTATCTATTCATCAATTGATATACTTTGGGATTTTTTCCACTTTTTGGCAGTTACAGATATTACTGCCATGAACATTTGTATAAAAGATTCTGTGTGATCATATATTTTCAATTCTCTTGGATATATATACCTACTGGGTCTTACTGTAACCTATGTTTAACTTTTTGAGGAACTGCCAAACAATCTCTCAAAGCAGCTACAGCATCGTACATTACCAGCAGCAGTGTCTGAGGGTTCCAATTTCTCCAAATCCTCACCAACAATCATTACTTTCTTTTTGATTATAGCCAGCCCCATGAGTGTGAAGTGGTGTCTCATTGTGGTTTTGATTTGCATTTCCCTCGTGACTCATGACATTGAGTATCATCATGTGCTTATTGACCATTTGTGTATTTGGAGAAATATATAATTAGATTTTTTGCCAAGTTTTTTTTAATTGGCTTATTTATCTTTTTATTGTTGATTTGTAAACTTTCTTTAAACATTCTGAATACTAGACCCTTATCAGATAGATAGTTTGCAAGTATTTTCTCCTCTTATGTGGGTTGTAATTTTACTTTCTTTATATTCCCCTCTGAAGCACAAATGTTTTTAATTTTGACAATATTCAATTTTTTTTCTTTGTTTGCTTATGATTTTGATGTCACCCCTAAAACACCATTCCCTAATCCAAGGTCTTGAACTTTGCACCCTGTTTTCTTCTAAGAGTTTAATAGCTTTAGCTCTTACATTTGGGCCTCTGACGGACTCTCACAAGGTTTGAAGGGTGAAGACACATTTTGAATAATGAAAAGAGGAAATATGTATTTTGCTCAAGGTTCCTGCAGCTCCAAAAGTGATTTGCAAAAAACAAAAATTTGGAAATACCCTAAGTACCAATTATAGAGGAATGGTGAATTCTATATTGATTTAATGAAATGTTAAGTTGCAACTAAAAATAACAGTTATGAAAATTATATATCAATAAGGAAAAATATTTATGAGATGTTAAGTATAAAATGCAGATTATATTATACAGTGGTTACAGGTGGGTAAAATTATGTATTACTGTGAATGAGGGTGATGAACTACCCTGGTTTGCCTCGGACTATCTGGGTCTTAGCACTGAAAATTCTGCCTCCCAGGAAACCTCTCAGTCCTGGACAAATCACCCTGTTATGAACAAGCTGCCCAAGGGATAACTGGGGAGCAGATCATAGCAAGGATATTCATTCTTCTCTAGCAGTCAATATTGACGGTGTCTAGGATTCTAAGGAGTTATCTGAGATTAGTAAAAACGAATTATTTGAGGTCATAAAAATGAATAAAATTAAATTCTTAAGGAAACCATGGTTTTGAAGCAGAAGCCTCATTTATTTCAGAAGTGGAGAAAATAAGAAATAAGATATTGTCATTTGTGAAGGTTTTCCCGTGATTTTTTCCCTTGAGTCTGGCATTGCCCCTCCCTCTTCCCTTTCCTAGTTCAAGGCCGGAGGGCCTGCCATATAGTTCAGTGAAATTCTGGAGTGCCCAGAGTGAGGAATTTGTTAGTAATGACCTGGTCCCTGAAAAACCTGTTGACCCAACTCTATCATTTATGTGGGCATTGGGTAGACAGTTTGGTTATTTGAAACATTACAGGATTTGAGTAGGAAGATCTGGATATGAAAAAGTCTCTCAAAATTAGTAGCTGTGGCCATTGAGAAATTATCTTTATTTACAGATTACTTAGCCCCTTTGAATCATGTGTAAAATAAGGATAGGAATTTTTTTCCTGATCGTGGACAATCAAATGCAATTGTTTGATAAAATACTTTGTTGGCTGGAAGATATTCTGCAAATACAAGTGTCGCTTATCATTTGAGGCGTGGGTGCTCCTGGGGCTCTCCTTTCACTCTCTCCTCTTGGCCAAAGGCTGAAAGGAAATGGGCAGTGCAGCCCTGAGCCCAGAGCAGGAGCTGGGGCAGGTCCCATGGATCTGCACCCACTCTGCTGGTGCAGGGAGAGGGTTGGGGGTCAGCCCTTAGAGCCCCCCTGACGGGGCGTGGGGGCTCCAAGAATGCGCCCCGGTGTCAGCCCCGTAGCAAAGCAGGTGGAACAGACTTCTTGTTGCGTCTCATTGTTATTGTTACTACTTTCCTGAACACAGCGGTGCAGAGGGAGCCCGCCCAGAGGGCAGGTGTGGTGGGAATTGGGGACGGTTCGGGGATGGCGTGGAGCAGTCCTTTAGCTTTTTCGTTGGGTGCAGTCTCCCTACAGAGAAGCGCAGAGCGAGTCGCAGAAACACAAGCAGCCCATCGAGGCCAGACCAGCGAGCAGCCACCTTCTGCCGCTGGCAAGAGTAAGAAAAGTGCTCCGAGCAAGAAAC